AGCCACATGCGATGAAAGTCATACCCATCCACATTGTGTGCTGTGCCATTCTTAATAGGTGCTCGCTATCAGCACTTGCCATTTGAGGCTTCTAAAGCTAAGGATGTTTATTTTTGTATGTATACTGTAAATGGGAAGTGGTGCTATCGTAGCTTACACAGTGGCTACAATTCAATAACCCGGGTTCAAATTTGGCCATGATTCATTTGACCCACAACAAACATCATCTGAACCTTGTTTGGATGTTCATTTCAGGAGTGGCGTAGCTATCGAGTGTACAGGCGGTGCAATTGCACCAGGTACCCCGGGCTGGAGGGCCCCGATCACCGGGCTATGAAGAGGGGGGGAAATTGTACACGGATCACCATTTAAGTCCTTGTACCAGGGCCCGTGCCAACCACACTACGCCACCGTCCTCGACTCAAACGTGCAGTACCTGGTTTAATTCCCTGAGGAGGCGTATGGTGAACATGAACCGTACTGCCCCCACCACCCCACCGAGTGCCTTAGTGGCCATAATAGGTGGATACTAAGTGCACTTGTCGTGGTCGTCGATCCAGGCTAAGTGGGCAGGGTTTGTCTCTATTCGTTCAAAGTCATAGCAAAATGATACGTTCTGATGTGGGCAATATGCAGACACTGATGTGATATACACAACGTGGTGATTTTGAAATCAAGATGGAGTTTTTCTCAAAATATGTTTTATATCCCTTGTAACTTATGTCAAACCCTTCTGGGGAAATCTTCATGCTATGTCCATAAAGAAAGAGGCTGATACTCTTTGGTTCTATTGGGTAAAGTCACGTAGGTAAAAAATAAAATAACAAAAATCACGACGTTTCGGCCACAACACAAGCGGCCTTCATCAGGTGAAGGGACGAGACTGTCTGGAGGACAGCGCTGGAGTGAAAAAAAGCCACGTTCAGATCACGACCTTTAAGTTGTGTGAGAAGAAACAAAGCGCCTTGACAAAGGAATTAGCATATAATTTAGCATTGAAATGGCTCATTGAAATAGCTAAGTTAAAGTATACACATCTGCAGAGGCACCCCTTGACAAAGGAATTAGCATAGAATTTAGCATTGAAATAGCTGAGTGATTAGCTTGTAACTGGTCACAGAAATAGCTATGTTAAAGTCAGAGCATATACATTCACCGAGGCACCTAGTACAAATCAAACAGGAGAATTTAGCGAAACACAACCACGCTCAAACCACGGACCTTTAAACTGTGTGCGAGCAAACAAGGTATCCTGACAAAGAAATTAGCATAAAAATTAGCATTTGATTGGCCGATTTTAGAAAAGAGGTGGTGTACGTGCCGGTGGACTTGCCGTTTGGCGCGGGGGGGGGGGGGAGTTTACCTATTGATGGGGTGAAAAGGGAATTTATAAGAGCTGCAAAAGTTTGGGGTACCACTACTTGAAAAATATACTGTACCATTGAAATTAGTTTAATGTTTAGTTTGATTTAGAACATCTTTCCAATGGTTGCTTAATTTGAAACCATCTTCTCGGTTGAAATTGTGTCTGTGTTTGTAGATCTGAATTGCCTCGTGAACAAATCTCTGATAAAAACCCGTGGGTTTGCAAAGAACCTTGGTATCGGAGAAAATTATATCGTGATCACCCACAGCGTTGTAACAGTGATCAGCCACAGCAGAAGAATTCGTTTTGCCGTGTTTCAAATCTGATTTGTGCTCGCGAATTCGGTCAGAGACATGTCGTTTTGTCTCCCCGATATAGCAATCACCGCAGGTACAACTCAATTTGTAAACCCCGGGGTACTGTAAGTCAGGAATGACATCCTTCACGGATGGGATCAGATCACGAATTTTGTGTACTGTATTGAACCGGACCTGGATCTTGTGTTTGTTTAGAATTTTGGAAATCTTTTTAGTAACGCCTGCTATATATGGTAGTGTGATGGTTTTGACCGGAGTATCAAGTGGTTGTTTCTGTATGGAGGGAGAAACAGCTTGGCGGATGGTACGGTCAGAGTAACCATTCCTTTTGAGGGACAGGTGTACATGTTTTAATTCACTGGTCAGGTGGTGTTGGTCCGAAATGCAATGAGCCCTTTGGTATAAAGTTTTGATGAGATAATTTTTTTGGGCTGGGTGGTGGTGGGAATCAGGTTTCAAGTAGGAATCTGTGTTGGTGGGTTTCCTGTAGACAGAATGCCCCAATGAGCCATCAGGTCTCCTCTCAAACAGAACATCTAAGAATGGTAGCTTGCCATCTTTCTCCACTTCCATGGTGAATTTGATGGCGGGATGTCTGGAATTGATGTGGTGTAGGAAAACGTTCAGAGCTGGGAGGCCATGTGGCCAAATGACGAAAGTGTCATCCACATATCTCTTCCACAGGGAAGGTCTGAGGGTGGAAGTGTGGATGGCGTCTGATTCAAATTTCTCCATGAAAATATTGGCTATCACTGGTGATAAAGGGGATCCCATGGGGGTACCCTCATTTTGTTTGTAGAAGGAGCCATTCCAAGTAAAGTAGGTATTGTTGAGGCAGTGCCTAACCAGTGCAGGTGTGTCGGGGTCTAATCCATGTTGGACCAAATTTTCAATTATTTCAATGGTATCAGGTTCTGGGACCTTGGTGAACAAAGAGACCACATCAAAGCTGACAAGGATATCGTCAGGGGACAGTACAACGTCTTTGACCATAGAGACCAATTGGGCTGAGTTAAGTACTGCTGAGGCGGTCTTGCCAGTGAAAGGCAGCAAGGTATCTGACAGAAAACGGGCTAGTCTATAGGTAGGGGAGTTGATCGTGGATACGATGGGTCGTAATGGGGTGCCTTCTTTATGAATCTTGGGAAGACCATATAATCTAGGGGGTCTTGCAGCAGAAGGTTTTAGGGAGGGACGTTTAGTTGGGTCGATTAAGGAGGTCGAACTTGTGATGATCTTGTTGGTTTTTATCGCTAGGCTATTAGTAGGGTCATTTTTTATTTTTGAGTAACTTCCATCGTTGAGCAGATTCTGGATTTTGTTGTTGTATGAATCTTTATCCATAATAACAGTAGCGTTGCCTTTATCGGCTGAGAGGATGACTATATCACTTCTGTTTTTTAAATTCGCGAGTTCAGAGCGTTCATTTTTGCTGATGTTACTAATGAGTTTCTTAGCATTCTTAGAATAGTGGCTATTTCAGCTCTCACAACGTCTGCTTGGATGTGTCCTACGCCTTTGAGGGCTACATCGACCTGAGAGATGATATCATCTACTGGTATGTGTTTTGGGGTGACAGCAAAATTTAGTCCCCTAGCCTGTACTGTTTTCAGATTGTCCGAAATCGGGTGCTACTCTGATTAATGACGATTTTGTTAACATCTAGTTTTGTTATATGTGGAACTGCGTTTTTCTTTGATAGGTGGGTGAATTTAGAAATCAGGTTAGCTTTACATTTGACTGACAGTGACTCAGCTGAAGAAGCAGTCATGTTGTCTACGTGATTCCAATCAGAAGGTGACATTTTTTGTGTTAACATTAAATGAGCTTGTAGGAGAGTCCTGTCTAAAGTATCGAGTTCAAATCGGAGTAGCCTTATCCTCTCTGAGATTAAAGATAGGCTGGCCTTAAGCAGAATCTGTTTAGAATTCGGAGAAGATACAGCAGCAGAAGTGAGTGTGAAAGCGATGGGTATTACCTTGTGATCGCGGCATCTTTTGAGGAAGGTCAGCGTCTCGATGAGGCGCTTTGTTTCTTCTCACACAGCTTAAAGGTCGTGATCTGAACGTGGCTTTTTTTCACTCCAGCGCCGTCCTCCAGACAGTCTCGTCCCTTCACCTGATGAAGGCCACTTGTGTTGTGGCCGAAACGTCGTGATTTTTGCTATTTTATTTTTTACCTACGAGACTTTACCCAATAAAACCAAAGAGTATGGATCCTAGCAGTCACGAAAGCTTTAAATCTAGAAAAGAGGCTGATGTTCCTGTCTGTTTAACAGCAGATATATTAAATTCAGGGGCTACACATTTAGCGAGAAAGAACACCCCCCCCCCCTCCCCCACTGTCAACCTTGGGAATAAGTCTTCTCCAGCTACCTGTGCCATATGATCAAGCTATTTGCTGCTGGTCTAGAGCAGGGGTCACCAAACTCCGGCCCGCGACGTCAGTCCATCAGGCCCGCCGACGGTACTTGAATTTGGTTGATAAAACGTATGGAACACGAGACGTTGTGGTACAATTTAAATTTAAATATTATGTTTAGAATACTAGGAGATTTTCATGCGTGCGGAGACCTCCTTACTGTTATGTGCCTTAAATTTACTATTTTAATTTTTTTTTTATTATTGTATCTTGATTTTCTTGTTTATTGTAATGTTTGCTTATTTCGCGCCATCCCAAGTCCTTCCCCGGCTCGTGGTAGCTCCGCCTACGCTCTGACGTTACCATGGTTTCCATGGCAACGTCACGGCAACACGTTACCATGGTTTCCATGGCAACACACACAAATACGCATCTTTCCCGCCCCCAAGTATTGAACAGAATGTTTATGCGGCCGCGATCGTCATTCTATCAGTTATCCGGCCCGCTGTGAAAAAAGTTTGGTGACCCCTGGTCTAGAGGAAGATTGTGCCCCCTCAAATTTGGAAATTAGTCCAACACCACCCCCCTCTCTCACTTCTCAAAGCTTCCACCACACAAATGGAATTCCTCGGGAATGCCTTTATTATGACATGATTTTATACATGGGTGTCGGTGGCCGCAGGACTCTTCTAGTTCATGACATCACCATACTCTCTGGTTCTTTCGGTAAAGTCACGTAGATAGAAAAAATAACTAAAGAAAACACGACGTTTCGGTCGCAACACAAGCGTCCGTCTTCAGGTGAGAAAATGATCTGCTGTTGTGGCTTTCTATAGGCACGGGAGGGGAGGGGGGAAAGGGGGGGGGAGGAGTTTGTCGAGTCGTGGCTGCAGGAGTTCACGGGGGAGAGGGGGGGTGTGGCGTGCAGGGACGGGTGGGGGCTAGCACAGTTATGTGGTAGGAATCTCGGGCCTGCAAATCAGGAGGTTGTGAGTGCAAACCCGAGACAGGGGTGTTGATTCCGGCTATCATACCTCTGGGGTTGGTAAAATAGGTACCGCTGTGACTTGCCCCTTGCATTGGAGTATAGAATTTTTACTACCACTGGCTTCGAGAGGTGTATGCAAGAGATATGTGCTCCAGCGGGAAACTCCTTTTACTTCATGAGTTTTTATTTTATTTGAATCCACTACCTTATTTTCCTGTTTAATATTACAATATACATATGCCCTCTTGTAATACAGTAAACTAAACCCTGGTCGTATTGAAACCTCTTGGCAGGATATATAATTCATGCATAGATGTATAGACTCAGCGTTCCAATATTCTACAAAGATGCCCTTGAAAAATAGATTGGGATTTTTTTATTTTTCTGTTCTTGCAAAGAAAATGGTTATGGTAATATTGAGGCTTCCAAGTAAAATATTTTCTGCCCAGATTTCATAATTCAAATATATTAATACTAGGGTGTATGCATTGTGTATTGTAGGTAAAATACAATTTATAACATTTACTGAGAGTAACATACAATACAACAGGGCGGAGTGGTGGCGGATTGGTTAGCTCTGCTTTATGAACCAAGCGACCTGTGTTTGATTCCTGCTGCACATAAAATAATCTCCGAGTGATATCTGAATCGGTCCCAGGATATCTCCCTCTTTCACCAACCCACACTGATAACGTGGTGAAGTATGACTAAACCACTGGCCCTTGACCTGCAATAGTTTGACAAATCGCAGTTAAACAACACATACAACAGACCTTATATCATGCAGCCAAATGCATGTACAGCTGCCTATAAACACGGATAATAAGGGAGTAATTTCTTGCTCCTTCCAGTGATGCCTCATATCCGCAGAGCACGCCTGGATGACTGGGGTCATTGGCTTCACTTTCTAGGGGTCACATTTGAGGGGCCCTCCGAGCGGCATCGTCATCATCAGTCATCGTAAAATCCATCATCATTTACACCTTCATCAACTCTGCATTCATTATCATCGCCGCCATCTTCGTGAACAGGGACCATCGCCACCATCATTGTCATCACCCTGGTCGCCGACACTGTTGAGTCTCGGTGTTGTGCGACTTCTGGAGACACGGTGCCACATCCCCTTGGCCAGTACATAAACGTAGAGGCTTGCTTTGTGAGCCGGCCTGTCTGGTTTGTACTATTTACTCGCTTTAGTGGGCTCTGTAGAGTCACACTCGGCAGTGCATAAAGTATCGGCTCCATTAGCACTGCTTGGTGTAGGTTATTTGATTTGTCCGACTTTTACGATCATGCTGTAACACACTGGACTGTTCTTCCAAAGCAGCGTTGGTACGTGATATACACATGGTGATCCATTTATAGACACACCACAGATTTCTAATGACCCCTCTCTCTTCCTTTCTACTCAACAGCTGACTGAATATTGCGTAAGTGATGGCTAGATATCTTAGAGGAGAGCATCCACAGATCTAATGTGCCTATCGTTTAGATTGGTGCGAGACGCATAGAGGCTTCACAATAAATCATTGCAGTATCTTTAAGCGTTGCCCATGGATCACCCTGTATATCCGTGATTGTGTATTTTCCAGTGGTACATGCAGTAAGTTTATGCCGCTGTGTGTATTCTGCACATACTTTGTATGCACCAAACTGTGATTGTGCCTGTGTAGCTCTGTTTACATAACCGAGTCTCCTACATTGATTTTCCCCATTGGAGCGTATGCACCCAACTAAAGGGTTTATCTGGTTATATAGTCTGTCCCATCCTTGTGTTCGTCTGCCGCTGCTAGTCTGCTTATCAGTGTCTTTGGCCTTGCTCTGCATGCATTGTCCCTGCGGTTTTGTTTGTCTACGGATCTCCCGAGCGTGCATTCACCACCCTCTCAGCCTTAATACCACCACCATTCATGCTATGTTTGCGCTGGCCTTGTGATGTATATTTTGCTCTGTTTTTCTCTGTCTCGTTCAGTCTGGATTTAGCTCTTTGCGCTCTTCACGCGGTTCGTTCCCTGTATCTCTTTACAGCTGTCTGCTGCGGATAACTTGACATGCAACAACACAAGAGATGTGTTAAGCATCATAACACAGAGGGTCTGTCGGCGCGCATTAGTGAAAACCTTGCACTTATTTGATCTAAACAATTACGTCACTGAAACAATGATCTGCACTGAGCAAGTGTGTGGCATAGTAATGTGACAAAGACGTGAATTGAACCTAATGGTGGAATTGTTTTTTCAGTCCAATTGTTAGACTAATAAGTAGTCATGGTGACTATAAATTAATGTAATTAATGTAAATTAAAGTGGGGCTTATCGTATGCTCCACGAGTTCCAGAAATTGTATTCAACATTTTTTCCCCTATAAATTCAAAACATCTATCGACCTTGGTGGTGGGGGAGGGGTGGCTCTCAACATGTATTCAACCACAAACAACCTCTCTCGCCATGCCAGTCTGTTCACATTGCTTTTACATGAGTGGAAGACCACATCGGTTCATCGATTCAGATCGATTCTTGTCCTTGCGACACATCCTTCGAATCCTGCCTGTGAGACTTGGTAATTTTCACCATTTGGGCAAATAACAATGTTTGCAAATGATATATTAATGGAATTGTATGGTCTCTAAGCAGGTTAACGAAGGCATTTTAATCATATTTAATCTTATAAAATTATGTTGACTTTGATGAATAATCCTTTAAAATGTAGTATTTAAAAAAACCCAATCAATTATTTGGTTGAGACTCTTTTTGATAATTTCAGTGTCAATACTCATTGTGTTATTCTTAATTACAATCCTGGAATTAAAATGACTCATTTGAAAGTTTCCATCCAGAATCCAAAAGGCACGAGAAATGCAAAACTTCAGCCAAATTGAACTATAAGCAAAATTCAAACTGTTAATATCACGATATACATAGCCAACTGCACTAATCAGAGGTGCAGGGGGAAGGACAACAAACTAAACACAAAAATAAGTTCTAAAGAATTGAGTTTTCAATCAAGATTTTAAAACGTGCATAGCTCCAGTGGCTTCCGAATGTCGGAAGGAAGACTATCGCGGCTTGCAGTATCGTCTCACACATCACAATACAGCACAGACTCCCCTCCAAACGCTCTGGAATGTGACCCCTGCCTTGCCAGCTGAAGCTGGGCTACCATAAGAGGACTCTCTTGGCTTGACAGTTGTCTGTCAGCAGCTGTCACTCTCAGCAGGGCTACTCTGAGTCGAGAGCCCACTTTGGTCGAGTTCTACAGCCAAGAAGCAACTTCCTGTAAACGTAATACTATACAGTAATATACATAATACACATTGTGCCTCTCCAATAATAATGGCAACAATATATCGTGTAGACTCGGCATGTGATGATGCATCCATTCATCGGTTCATAGGCAAATAATAGGCTCGTGTTGCTTTTATAAGAATAGAGTAAACCAAGCTGTACGAATGAGACTTGTAAAATGAGAAATGTCACGAGTGATTCAGTTCCTGAAGAAGCTCCTGAGGCCTTCGTCGCATCTTGCAGTGTGCCCTGCCCAAGCCCCACTTTTACGTTTATTAACCGTAAAAATTACGTCTTTAACCTATGTGTTCTCTTTCCGTCTCTCAATGCGAATTCTAGTATGCATTTCTTCATGCTGCTTCACGCACTTTTTCAGTTTTGTTTCATTTTTGTCGTCTTTGTGCCGACGGCAGAGTTGCTAGATCGTTGGTTGAGGAAATAAAATGTCAAAACGTAATACGGCCAAGTGCTCTTAATGCCACCACACCTCGGCGTCACTTCCCTTCCTTGTGCCAGGTGTCAGCTCTTGGGCGGTTGATAACAGACCTCCAGGGTATGCTCTTATATGCCCATATATTATGCTCCTGTCCAGGCCATAAGTCTCATAAGACAACATAGTTCTTAGTTATAAATTGTCTGTATGTATGTTGAACTTCTTTCGCATCATACGTATACAACCGTCCTAATTGGAGGTCTGCATGCAACCGCATCTCAAAACGCCCAAAAAGTAGGAGGGGCATGGTCATTGAGTGGCACTTGGAAGGTTGGAGCGTTTTTTGTCGTTCTTATTTTTTGTAAAAAAATTGAGGTGGTAAGGAGGCTGCAGGGCAAAGGGGGAATTGAGACGGAGGTAAAGTAGAGGTCCTAAAAGTAATGAGTGAGTCGGCCATTGGCAGAGGAGAAGATGGGCTTCTTGAACCTGGGCTTGGGCAGAGGAAGGAGACGTCGTGGGAGTTTACCCATCCAGCAGCGTCAGACACCGTGCAACCTGTACTCACGCTGCGGCATATGAGGGCTTGCACCGCAGCGCTCAACCAGGCGGGAGGATCAACACGGGAGCGACGCGCATCCGTCTGTAACTCGCCGCTTGCACGCGATGAGCCTTCGGGAGGGACGCGAGCTTGGGACTTGTAAGACGGGTGTAATTTACTCCACAAGGAATTGTAAAGTTTAAAAGGCTGGCCAGCAAATGAGTTCCTAGAATACCGATGCCAAAAATACTGTACTGGTTAAATGAGTCTAACAAAGCATTCTGAGGTTTAAGATGGGCTTATAGTGTGTCTCCAGTGAAATGTTTCATTTTTTTTCTAAAAAAATTACATTTGTGTACTGTATCAATTCAAAGTCAGAGTTTTTAGGTGTGTTTCGAGGTTTTAGCACGTGTTGTTGCGAATTTAGTTCATGAAGAAGCTCCCAGCACATGGTAGCGAAACATCAGACATCGCGCCAAACAATGCTCGGTACAACCCGAAAATACATCGGAGAGCTGTGTATAGCACAACCGCTAAAACTTATACAGCAGCAAAATCAAAGTACAGTATATCTTGCTCGGTCACCTGCGGGATGCTGCTCATCTGTATTGACATACCCCGAGCCAGTAGCGGACATTCTCCATTCCGATGGTGGGGGTCAGTCTGTCTCTATATTACACAATCACTGTGAACACGTATCAAAGTGGTGCTTATTTGTACTTGAACTCCCAAACTTCAGTGCCGTTACCACCACGTCGGTCCTGTTGGTTCTTTTAGAAATGTCTAACAGCAAGTTCATTGGAAATGTGCGCTTTGCTTTATTTTAGCTGTAGTTATTTCGATTTGGCAGTGAGTAGTACGGCGTGTATCAATGCATCTATTCACGACAAGATAATTGTTGTTATTGTGTCGTCTATTCATGGGTTAAAATGAATTCTTATGGCCCAGGAAGTACGCTTAGAATCACGCGTGCAACTATCGATTATTTGCAATTCATGCAAATTATTTTTGTTCACTTCACGCTGACGGAACGGAAGCGGAACAAACAAGAATGAACCTCTGAGACAGACAATATGAACAAGGCTGTGCTAATGAGACAAGAGAATCCATTATTTGAATAAAAATGACTCCATATCATGACACTTAATCAAAACGTGGCGAGGATGAATCATTTCACTCTTCTCTGTAATGATTCCAACACCGACAGATGTACGCAAAGCCAAGTTTCAGATTGGGCATGCTGCAATTTATTTTTTCTGAGTCAAAATTGGACCAAGATAACGAGATTGCTTTTAATTGGATTTCATAAATCTGTGAACAGTTTCTCGTTACCGCCAGCGGTTTATGTGAACGTGTAAATGCCGATAAAAAACCTCGGGTTCATTCTGAGTGCCGCTGTTTTGAGCGTCTTCTAACGGAATATGTATTTTTTTTAAACTAACGAATTAATTAATTTGCATTAATACTTTCATTTGTTTTACACACCCAGATGTATTTGTGGGACATGGAACTTTGGCACTGTGGTTAGCACGCCGCGTCATATGAACTTGATTAACCTCAGTTAAATTTTTGGCAATGACTAACGTCAGTTGAAAGTGATATCTGAGCCATTCTTGGGCCCAAACTGCACTGACCAGCGTAGTGAAGTATGGACAAACAACCCCCATGACCATCCAGCGTGAGGAAGTCTTCATCCAGCAGTGAATCGACAAAAGGTTGTAAATTATGCAATTATTTGGTTTGCATTATTTTACATTACAAATCACATGCGTCTCATGGCACATATTAACGTTTTTAACTGAAACTCTGAAAAGTCAACAGAAAAACACCAAAGTGAGTGAGTGAGGCAGTTATTGAGCTAAAACGCACCCCGACACAAACCTTCTGACCTCGCTGTGATTCGCTCACCGTTAGTACGGTTTCCACGGCAACACTCAATTACAGCCTCTCCCCCAAGGCAGTCTAGGGGAATAGCGAAGGGAGGGCCATGTTGCTGCCTCCCCCCGTGGTCATTCCTCCCTCGTCCCCAGCAGGCCCCGTGTAACAGCGCAGGCGCCCGCTCCTGCAGGTGGGCACGATCGTAACTTCAAATCGGTCCATCGCGTCATCGATTAAGACTTCCCTCTGGCGCCCTCGCTCCGTCCTGCGAGCGATGAGGCGGATCAAGATTGCTGAATCTCTCCGCCCCCGCTTGCCAGCTGCGCGCCCATGAAGCCAGCATCAGCTGTTGTTGTCGGGGGCTAATTGCCGCTCTTTGCCGAGTGGTGCCACCTAAATTTTTAATCGCGATTGTCGCCAATGCCATCATCCGCGCGGAAATTATTGCCCGACAGCAATTTTGTTGGCCCGGAGAGACCCATCCCATCGAGCCTGAGCGGGACGTCCAGACCACCTGAGTGACACCACACGGTCTTTAAGAGTGATTATTCAATACAGGACGATGTTATTGTCAACGTGAATGTTCACTTGTAATCGCGCGGCACGCTTTATTGGATGACATTTCCCCTGTTGTAGCCTGCTCATATGCGGAAGAGGTTGGATTTGTAAAATCTTTGTGTAAGGGGTGAGTGCTACGATGGCTTCGGCCTCTTGACCTGTTTACCTATGTGTCTTATGTCAACAATAAGAGTGCGTTTTGTGAGGATATTTTTTTTACAGAATTGATAAACAGAGCAGGAGAGTGGGAATGTATCATTGAGGTTGTTTGAGTGCATTGCTGCCTCTCATGATGCAGTTTCAGCAGTTCCCAGCATTGTTGGTATTTATACAAGCCTTTTGTGGATCTAATAATATAATGGCAGTTCTTAATGTTGATTTTTTTAAAAACACTAATTAATTTCACGCATCCACAGTCACTAGTCGCATGCGTACGAGCAGCACATGTGCACGCATGCCTTGCGTTCACATGCCACGATGATGTACGTCGTGTGTGATCTGCCTTGGTGTATATTCATTGAACGCATTAAGGTTGTTAACAGTCCTCTGTTTATTTTCTTTTCACATAGGAAATTTAAGCACGTGGATCATGACTGCTCAAGCAAGTTTCACCCGAACAACGTGGAACAACGTTTTTTTTTAAACGCATTGAAAAGGCTACCACAGTAAAATTTACGACCCCATGAATTTGCCATCCCTTCGAAGGCAGTTGGGACAGTCACACGGCGTGGAGAGGTGAGCTTGTGCCCCTGAGTAGGTGGCAAACTTTAACTTCCTGTGCTGTGCTGGTTACAATGAAGAGCCGCCGGAATCCGTCGCAGCATCTGTGAGCAATCGTATTTGAATGCATTATTGAACACGCAGGAAGAGAGCTACTTACATTAAAATATAGACAGCAAGCTATATGGCTTGATAAAAACCAAAAACTTTGCGGAAGAACATAAGAGATTCGCCGTTCCTGTCATGGGTGGAGGTGGCAGACATCTGAATAAGTGGAAAAGGGAAAATATATTATCATTGATTTCTCATCATGCAACAAAAATGTGTGTTATATGCCGTGCCATTGATGAGCATGTGAATGGGAGTAACGGAGGCTGCTCGGAGACAGGAACAGAGGCGCGCAGCTCGCACTGAGCGCTGGGCACGGCACATGTGGCTTTGACGAGTGACACAGACAGATTCCTACTTGTATATTTATCTTCCGGCTTTCCAGGCTGTGGAGGACTGAAGCGAAATATTGGGGGTTGAGTTGAACATGGACGACGTGAATCCGATTCTCAGGGGCGGTAGCTACCTCATCAAGTCGAAAAAGGCTGCCGCTGGCGCCTTGGCAGGCACACCCGGCCGCAGCGACAGCTTTTACCTGCGCAACAACGGCGTCCCCAAGATGGGCACGCGCGCCTGGGTCTCCCCGTACGGCGCCGCGTGGGACGGGCGGGGCGGCGGTGTCACCAGCAACGAGCGCGGTAGCGCCGAGAACGTGTTTGGCGACAAGGTGGACCCCAGCACTGCTCCCACGCTGCCCACGCCGTCGTCCGCCAAGGGGGAGCGGGGGCTCACTGTTCCTGTGCGCCGCTTCCGAGACTCATCGGAGGGGCGCAGGCGGCCAATACCGTTTCAGTCGGACGGATTTGCGCATCAGCAGCATCAGCAGCAGCCCCTGCGGCACCGCAGCAGCAGCGACGTGGCGCTGAGCGAGATGGACGGCGACGGCAACATCACCATCCACCCGGGCGCAGTGAACCCCAACACGGGCGTTTCCCTGCGGCGTGAGTATGGCAGCACGTCGTCCATTGACAGCCGCTCGGCCTCCAACGCCACCGCCGCCAGTGCCGGCAAGCAGTGGTTCCTGGGCGGCAGCAGTGGCAGCATCGGCAAGGCCAAGTTTGCGGACCTCCTGAGGGTCGGCGATGCCTTGGCCGCATCCACCCTGTCGGTGAGCCAGCAGGAACTCGACGACGGCAGCTCGGAGGAGGCACGTGAGGGCCGAGGAGGAGGCAGTGGTGGTAGCAAGTCGCGGCGGAAGGACAAGTGGGAGCGGTCGCTGAAGCGCCGCTCTAAGTCGGATGTGGGCGAGGCTTCCATCTTCCACAAGCTGCGCACGGGAAAGTCGGACTCTGACGGGACGGTGGGGGAAAATGGCGAAAAGGCAGACGAGGCCGGTGCCACCACCACAGGGGTGGCGGCGGCGGCAGCCTCAGAGCGCCGCTCGTGGCGCTGCCCCAAGTGCTTTGGGCACTACGACGTGCAGAGCGTGACTTTCGACCTGCGCTCATCGGGCCAAGGCCAGCAGGGCTCGGCACAGCAGATCAAGAACATGAGCACGGGCGCGTCGGCCGCCTCGCTGTCGGCCAAGACCGTGGCCATGATGGTGGCGGCGTCGGCGGCGAGCGGCTTCAGCTCGCCCGGCGGTAGCACGGAGGAACTGGACGCCGCCCGCGACGAGCCCGGGGCGCAGGCGGCCGACGCGGGCGACGGCAAGGGCAACGAGCTGGTGCAGAGCTGCCCATTCTTCCGCAACGACTTGGGCGGGGAGGTGGAGAGGCAGATCAGCCTGTCACGGGCGAGCGTGGGGCTGGGCGCGATGGGCCGCGCGGCCGAGGCACTACTGCACCTCGGCCCCACCAACGCCAGCGTGTCCGTGCTAGAGGGCTGGAGCGCGGACGAGGGCCTGCGCAGGGGCGACAGGGTCAAGCGCTATGTCATCGAGCATGTGGACCAGGGTGCGCGCTACTACCGGGACTACTTCTTCGGCAAAGGTAAAGCATCTTGGATTGGGAGCTGGCGAGTGAGTCATGCTGTGCGTGTGTCTGTCTGATGGCTGAATGAATTTATGTTATCTGGTTATTTTGGCTGTTGTCATCAGGATGTTTTAAATGGTGGTCCTTAGACGATTGGCTAACTGTTCTCTGATGGGGTCTCTAGACAGTAGACTGACTGAACCATTTTTGATTAAGTCTTTAGGCAAGATAATCGTCCCTCCATCAATATCAATTTAACAAAATATACGGTTCTCAATGAGTATGCTCATCAGCGTACAAATGCTGAGTAGATAGGACTAATAATTCCACCGTCTTCAAGCTAATAGACTAAATTTATAAAAATCCCTAATTAGGAAGTTTGATTGTTTGAATTTTAGACACAGCACTGACAAACCATCTCTTAAGTTTAACAAAAATTATCATTGAAGGTTAATATTGATACAAGTCTGTAAATAAAATTTGAGTTGAGAATTGTTGTTCTCCGCATTAGCAGGACATATTCCCACAATTACTTTATTGTGGTAATTGCTTTGGTTGGTGGGTCGATATATTGTCGAATGCATAATTATTCAAATCTGGCAAAAAAAAAAAAACCTTGCATTTTTAATCTGCGCAGTCTTTTATTGCTGTACAACATAAGCTTTGAGATGGCTCCTCGTTCATTGAAGTTGATGGAGCGGTTTAGGAGGAGTTCTCTGCGCAAATATGTACAGTGAGGGAAAAAAGTATTTGATCCCCTGCTGATTTTGTACGTTTGCCCACTGACATAGAAATGATCAGTCTGTAATTTTAATGGTAGGTTTATTTGAACAGTGAGAGACAGAATAACAAAAACGTCCAGAAAAACGCATATCAAAAATGTTATAAATTGATTTGCATTTTAATGAGGGAAATAAGTATTTGACCCCTCTGCAAAACATGACTTAGTACTTGGTGGCAAAAGCCTTGTTGGCAATCACAGAGGTCAGATGTTTCTTGTAGTTGGCCACCAGGTTTGCACACATCTCAGGAGGGATTTTGTCCCACTCCTCTTTGCAGATCTTCTCCAAGTCATTAAGGTTTCGAGGCTGACGTTTGGCAACTCGAACCTTCAGCTCCCTCCACAGATTTTCTATGGTATTAAGGTCTGGAGACTGGCTAGGCCACTCCAGGACCTTAATGTGCTTCTTCTTGAGCCACTCCTTTGTTGCCTTGGCCGTGTGTTTTGGGTCATTGTCATGCTGGAATACCCATCCACGACCCATTTTCAATGCCCTGGCTGAGGGAAGGAGGTTCTCACCCAAGATTTGACGGTACATGGCCCCGTCCATCGTCCCTTTGATGCGGTGAAGTTGTCCTGCCCCTTAGCAGAAAAACACCCCCAAAGCATAATGTTTCCACCTCCATGTTTGACGGTGGGGATGGTGTTCTTGGGGTCATAGGCAGCATTCCTCCTCCTCCAAACACGGCGAGTTGAGTTGATGCCAAAGAGCTCCATTTTGGTCTCATCTGACCACAACACTTTCACCCAGTTGTCCTCTGAATCATTCAGATGTTCATTGGCAAACTTCAGACGGGCTGTGCTTTCTTGAGCAGGGGGACCTTGCGGGCACTGCAGGATTTCAGTCCTTCACAGTGTAGTGTGTTACCAATTGTTTTCTTGGTGACTATGGTCCCAGCTGCCTTGAGATCATTGACAAGATCCTCCCGTGTAGTTATGGGCTAATTCCTCACCGTTCTCATGATCATTGCAACTCCACGAGGTGAGATCTTGCATGGAGCCCCAGGCCGAGGGAGATTGACAGTTATTTTGTGTTTCCTCCATTTGCGAATAATCGCACCAATTGTTGTCACCTTCTCACCAAGCTGCTTGGCAATGGTCTTGTAGCCTATTCCAGTGTAGGTCTACAATCTTGTCCCTGACATCCTTGGAGAGCTCTTTGGTCTTGGCCATGGTGGAGAGTTTGGAATCTGATTGATTGATTGCTTCTGTGGACAGGTGTCTTTTATACAGGTAACAAGCTGAGATTAGGAGCACTCCCTTTAAGAGTGTGTTCCTAATCTCAGCTCGTTACCTGTATAAAAGACACCTCGGAGCCAGAAATCTTTCTGATTGAGAGGGGGTCAAATACTTATTTCCCTCATTAAAATGCAAATCAATTTATAACATTTTTGACATGTGTTTTTCTGGATTTTGTTGTTGTTATTCTGTCTCTCACTGTTCACATAAACCTACCATTAAAATTATAGACTGATCATTTCTTTGTCAGTGGGCAAACGTACAAAATCAGCAGGGGATCAAATACTTTTTTCCCTCACTGTATGTACAAATTATCTGCTTGTGTGGATATGTGGGGAAGTAGTGGCGCAGTACTCAGCGAAATGTGTTATGAACCCAGCGACCTAAATATTACTCCAAGCATTAGACACGGAATTTGTTTGAGGTGTCCAGTGTCTGGGCCACCGATTCATACGAATTAATTACTTCTCTATGCAATCGACAGAGCATCAAAACTACTTTGGCATGGATGAGAACTTTGGGCCAGTGGCTGTGAGCATTTGTCGGGAGAAGATGGAAGATGCGAAGGACAGCACACAAGGCCCCCAGTACAACTACCGCATCATCGTCCGGACCAGCGCGGTGAGAGGATGCATGTCCGTTTTTTGTAGAAGGTTTTTAACGAGATCAGGAGCTCATCGTGGCCAAAGCCGTTGATGCCACCACAGATCTCTAAAGCATTCTATCCCTCTGCCAGAATTCCGCAGCTGCTTGCACATTAGAGATTCGACCTCAAAGATCTTCCCAGACAGTATCCCACCATCTAGTCTTTAGTCTCCTCCTTTGTTGTCGCACACGCAGAGGCCATTTCGATGGCTGTGTCGGTATCCGGCCCATTATAGATATCCCCGATCATATCTACAACGCTTTCCTGCCGTGTTCTCTTTCAGACTTCTTTATTGCTTACCCTGTCTTGCCACGAACTATGACAATTAATGCGAAATACTTTACGTGGAAAATGTGGATTCTAAAATATTTGTTCATACTATTATAAGAATTGACATTGCTGTGATCAAAGAGAAAAGGTTTTGTTTCAGTTCCGTCTGTTTTCATTGCAAAGCCTTTACTAGGCCACAATCACATTTCAACCAAAGGTTAAAACAATTTACATTTCAATGTTTACTTTACTTTGATTGCAAATAAAATAGAATGCGTATTTACGAGGGATTTGGATATGATGTGTTAAAAGAACATCATCTAGAATCAATCCCATCGACAATTCCACTAGCATTAGATTGCAATGATTGATTAGAATAAAATTTCATTTTAATACCGTAATATAAATAATACAATGTATTAATAGTATAACACGTAATCACGCAATGTGTTGTGTAGTCGGAAACTGGAGCACCTGTCCCCGCATCTATGGTCTGCACTTTCACCAACCCGCACTGACCGGCATAGTGAAGTACGGTCAGACAACCCCTATGAGCCGCACGGCATAGGGAGGCCCTCATCCAGCAGTGGACTAACAAGGGCTGTACACGTATGTGTTGAAGTGCATGTAGCCTGGTTCAAGCACCGAGATGACATCATGTACCAGCCAATCACAACGAATTGTAGTGAAGCACACTGACCAGCCAATCACAACTATTGCTGTTATCGTTGCTGTTGCATGCGTCGTCTGTAATCTGCGCAAAATTCATTGACTGGTCTTCTTTGTTCTTCACGCGCGCACGCATGCATGCGGCAGCTGACCACGCTGCGCGGCTCCCTGCTGGAGGACACGGTGCCGTCATGCTCGAAGACCGGCACGGTGCGGGGGCTGCCGCTGCGCGACGTGCTCGAGTACGCCGTGCCCGAGCTGCACATTTCCTGCCTCCGGCTGGGACAGAACACGCCGCGCGTCACGGACCAGTTGCTGTGCCTCGACGAGCAGGGGGTGGGTGTCGGGGAGGGGCGGCTCGCAGTGGGACTGGTGGTGGATCTCAAGGGGTGGGCGGCAATGGGGGGGATGCCCCCTTCCCCCCCCCCTTGAGACCCTGAAAATATTTACTTTATTGAAATTATTTTTTTGCCAAACAATATTATTTTTAGGCGGTTTAAGAGCATACCAATGCTTTGTTTTGTTTAATCTTACCTGTAAATTTGTTTTGTCTGTGTGTGTGTGGACACACCTTGTGACGCTTTAAACAACTGACAAACTACTGGGTTTACGTTTCAACAAACTACACACATACGGCACAATATGCCCCCAGACGAAACATTGCTATTTGTTTTTCCCATCCGTCAAATCTAAAGTAGTTTAATTAACAATTTATTATGGTTATATTGCTACGCTGAGGGCGCAAAACCACGTATCTGTGCATGCTCAGAAAACGCTGACCCGTCGTTGCCATTAGCAAAGCACACACGATCGGTGAGGAGGTATAGAGGAGGTATAGAGCAAGAAAATTGATAGTTTGAGAAAACAAATTTAGTAAAATTAAGAAGTGTAATGCAATGCAACACAAAGGGTCGGTTAACACACAGTTAACGCATAGCCTGGTTGATTAACATTCTTCCAAAGATTGCTACATTTGAAGTAAAGTGTGATAAAACACAGACACGGAAACAGCATAAACTTTCTATTTTCTTGCTCTAAACCATTGTCTCTCCTCCAGCCACTGTGGTCTGAAATTCCACACTGCTCCCTCTTTTTTCCCTCGTTTGTCAGCTGGTCCCGCCTCCCCAGTCCTATCTCTGCCCCGGCCCCTCCCCCCTCTCTCTATTTAAGGCCTCGGCACAGATTCGTTGTCCTGTGTGTCTTTGTGTGCGTCAATCTCTGCATATGTGTCTGCCTATGCTGTTCCCATGTCTGTTTTATCATTCATTCTTACCTGATGATGATTGCTTATTTTGCAATCGAAACATCGTATTCTATTATTATTTTATTTTATTTTCTACATGACTTTACCGAAAGAACCAAGGAGTAATTCCTCCAGTCACGAAAGCTTCGAATCTAGTTTAAACTACTACATGTTCTAGATTTGAAGCTTTCGTGACTGCAAGGATCCATACTCTTTGGTTCTTTTCGGTAAAGTCACGTAGGTAAAAAATTAAAACAACAAAAATCACGACGTTTCGGCCAGAACACAAGCGGCCTTCATCAGGTGAAGGGACCAACCTGTCCAGCGGACAGTGTTGGAGTGAACATGTTCTTTGTTTTTTCGGTAAAGTCACGTAGATAGAAAAATAATAAAATTAACGTGATATCGGTCTGAGACCTTGCAACCATTCACTGGTCAGACCACCTCTTCTGTACTTTTAACTCAGCTCACCTAGTATCGTCCATTAAGGACATCTCACTGTCCCCAGGTGATTTGCTCGTTAGTTTTGATGAAGTTTCTTTGTTCACCAAAGTTCCTGTGCCCAATACAATAGCAATTATTGAAGAGTTGGTCCAACAAGGATTGAATGCTGATGTTCCGGCCCTGGTGAGACAATGCCTCGCCAATACATACTTGACCTGGAATGGAACATTCTACAAACAAACTGAAGGCACCACAATGGGTTCTCCCTTATCTCCGGTTGTAGCCAATATTTCCATGGAAAAATTTGAGATGAACGACATCCAGGCATCCACTCTACGCCCGTCCTTGTGGAAGAGGTACGTGGATGACATGTTTGTCATCTGGCCACATGGCCGACCGACTCTGAACCAATTCCTCAACCACATAAATTCCATACACCCAGCCATCAAATTCACCATGGAGGTAGAAAAGGATGGCATGCTAAAACCTGATTCTCACCGCCATCCATCCCAGAAGAATTTCCTCATCAAAAACTACACCATAAAGCTCAATGTATCTCCGACCATGAACACCTAACCAGTGAACTCAAACACGTACACCAAGCTCTCAAGGCGAATGGATATTCTGGATACACAATCCGCAAAGCCATACCGTGAGGAAGGAGCCATCTGAGGATCCAATCAAAACCATCACCCTGCCAAACATAGCAGGGGTAACCAAATTTTTTTCCAAAATCATGAACAAACACAAGATCCAGGTCTGATTTAACACAGTACATAAAATTCGTGATCTGATCCCATCTGTTAAGAACAAGATTCCTGACATGCAATATTCCGGCATCTACAAACTAAGCTGTATCTGTGGCAGCAGTTACATTGGGGAAACTAAGCGACATGTCTCGTACCGTGTTCGTGAGCATAAGGCAGATTTGAAACATCGTAGGACCAATACTTCTGCCATGGCTGATCATTATTTTAATGCGGCTGGCTCACACGAAATTGATTTCTCTAAGACGATGGTACTTTGCAAGCCCACTGGCTATCAACAGAGATTCGTTCATGAAGCCATCCATATATACAGACACAATTTCAACCGAGAGGATGGTTATAAACCCAGCAATCATTGGAAAGATGTCATCAACCACTTTGGGTCATGACTTGCTCTGTGTCATTTCTTGTTATCTCACCCCAGGTCACACATGCCCCGCTCACTTCGTTCTGACACCGAGACGTTTTGTGGCACTGCATGCTCGGTGCTTCACATTGGTGCTCTCTGACCCCAGGGCACATGTGCCCCACCCACTTCGTTGCACCGCAGGAGCACTTGCTCTTGGGTGGTCTAGCAGCGGAAGTCGAATTAGTGATGATTTTGTTGGTTTTAATAGCCAAACTATTGGTAGGGTCTCTGTTAATTTTGGTATAGCAGTCATCATTGAGAAGGTCTTGGGTTTTCTTGTTGTATGTGGTTTTATCCAAGATGACAGTGGCATTGCCCTTGTCGGCTGAGAGGATGACAATATCATCTCTTTTTTAATTGAGCGAGTTCAAAACGTTCATCCTTGCTAATGTTGCTAATGGGTTACTTATTATTCTTGAGGATAGCAGCGATGTCAGATCTTGCAATGTCTCCCGGGATGTGTCCCAGACCTTTGAGGGCTACGTCGACCTGGGAAATTATGTCATCCACTGTGACGTGTTTGGGGGTGACTGCGAAATTCAACCCCTTGGCTAGTACCGATTTTTAGGCTGTCAGAAATTGGGCTGTTACTGTGATTGATAACAATCTTGTTAACATCTAACTTTTCCAAGTGTGGTTCGGGTTTCTTTCTTGACAGGAGGTTTAATTTGGCAATCTGGTTGGTTGTGTTTTTGGTTGACATTGAAGCAGCTGAAGAAACAGTCATGTTATCCACATGGTCCCAATGAGATGTGGACATTTTGTCTGTTAATAATAAATGTGATTGTAAGAGAGTCTTGTCTAAATTATCAAGTTCAAATCGGAGCAGCCTTTTTCTTTCTGAGATTAAGGCTAGGCTGGCCTTAAACAAGATCCGTTTAGCGTTACGGGAAGCAACAGCAGCAGATGTGAGTGTAAAGGCGATCTGTATTACCTTGTTGTCGCGGCATCTCTTTGAAAGGTGAAAGACTCGATCAGGTGTGCCTTCTTGTCTCGCAGTCTGTTAAAAGATCTAACAGTTGTGTGGAAGCCCTCCCCATAGTGTTGCGACCGAAACGTCGTGTTTTCTTTTATTATTTGTTCTACGTGACTTTACCGAAAGAACCAGAGAGTATGGATTCTTGCAGTCACGAAAGCTTTAAATCAAGACTACTTCTATAGAGTCAGTCGATACTACTGTAGAGTTAGTAGTTACTACTATAGTCAGTGGATACTATTATAGAGCTAATGGATATGGCTATAAATTCAGTAGATACTACTATAGTCATTAGATACTTCTGTAGAGTCAGTATTTACTACTATAGAGTTGGTTGATACTACTATAGAGTCAGTAGGTACTACAGTCAGTAGATACCACTATGGTCAGTAAATACTGCTACAGTCAGTGAATATTACTATACAGTCAGCAGATACTACTACGGTCAGTAAATACTACTATAGTCAGTATATAATACTACAGTGAGTAGATACCACTATAGTCAGTATATACTGCTGCAGAGTCAGTAGATAGGACTATAGAGTCAGTAGATACTACTATAGAGTCAGTCGATACTACTATAGAGTCGGTCGATACTATCGTAGAGTTGGTAGATACTACTATAGGGTCAGTAGATAATACTACAGTCAGTAGATTCCGTTACAGTCAGTAGTAACGACTATAGAGTCAACAGGTACTGCTATAGAGTCAGCAGATACGACTAGAGTCAGTAGATACTGCTTTAGAGTTAGTAGTTACTACTATAGTCAGTGGATACTACTGGAGGGTCAGTAGATACTGCTACGGTCAGTAGTTACTTCTGCAGTCAGTAGAAACTACGATACTGTCAGTAGTTACTACTGGGCTTAGTAGATACAACTACAGAGTCAGATACTACTATAGAGTCAGTAGATACTACTATTCTATATAGTCAGTAGCTCTACTACTGTAGAGCCAGTTACTACTGTAGAGTCAGATACTATTATAGAGTCACTAGGGTGTGTAGGTACATATGCCTACGCGGGGGTAAACATATTTTTGAAGGGGGGGGGGGGGGGTCGACAATTTTCGGAAACCTTTTAGATCAACTATTAACCCCCTACTTTCTATAACTTGTTGGACTTCTGCAAGCCTCTTATAATTTTGTTGACAGACAAATGGACAGACAAACGGCACACCGGGCTTTCACAATAGCTTAGTATTTGTGTACGTGTAGTGGTGTATTCACACGGACACTTTTAGCTTTTCTCCTGTGTCACTTTATTATTTCGTATGGATGCTCCTCACACTAACACAACGCACCCTTGCTCTGAACTCCCTCTCTCTATACTCCGCTAGCCTGCCACGTAATACTCCGCTAGCCTGTCACTCTTCTCTCACACCTCTACCTCATCCTTGCCCCCACCGGGGGATCAGCCAACACCGCTTGGGAGGACGAGGTGTAGAGGAGAAGGTCCCAGGCTTCTTCTCCCCGGCTCTTCTCCTCTTCGTTCCTTCAGTTCCAAACCAACTACCCCGTATTGCTCCGCACACACCTTTATATCCCCCTCCTCATTAAGGGTCTTCAGTTACCCCCCCCCCCCCCCCATTAAGCTGGCGCCTCAGCGGTACCCCCTGCACGTGCTCTCTCTCTTATCATCTCCATCTCCCACCTCTCTGGCATCTACAACTGTATTCCCAAGCTCGCACCTGCCTGTGCCCAAATGCACCCGGTTAATTGCTGCTTCTCCCCCTAATTTCTGGTGCCTCTCTGGCGGCTACTCCATGTCTTCACGCTTGCACCTGCTCGCCCTCAAATGCACCCGCTGTTTGCAACCCCTGAATGTTACACCACTATTAAAGTATATTTTATGTTTTTAAGAGAAGTTCTTACATATATTTTTACCCCGGGCAACGCCGGGTACTTCTCGCTAGTAAATATATAAAATATCATTAATGCGAGGTTTTGATAACTTTTTGGACCCACCCACTTCCTTTCCCCCCACCCAAATATGCCCACCTTGGGAAGTTTCGAGTTAATAATAAAATAAATGGATAAAGAAGCTTTCTACAAGGTACTCAAGGCGCTGTACTTGGCAAAATAAATATCACATCCCAAGGGTCAGGAAAATGTTTGAAGACCTAGAAGCTAATTCAGAGTGTCTCGTGCCGGTGTGCGAACTCCTTAGCGTTGCGCTGTGGAAAGCCGCGCGCGCTGGATTATGGATGAGCCCTTTTGTTGTGCGCGCTATTCGCGGGCCCGGAGTCGATCGGCTTCTCTTCAGGAGCAACTCATTAAGTGAAACGGGACCTGCGCTGGAGGAACAATTAGCCAAAAAGCTTGACATGTGGCCTCGGATAAACTGACACCTTCCATTAAATGCATATTGAATGCCATGCCAGAAATATTACTAATTGTGTTGGGGCTTTAGGCGCTTGAGTGGGAAGGGGGTTGTGGGTAGGGGGGACAAGGATGAAAGGGTGCAGCAATAAGTCTCGTTAAGGAAACGTGTGAATTGTCACGCTTTCAACTCCCAGCCCCCGATGAGCTGCGTCCCGGTCGAGAGAGATGATTGGCGTGTGAGCAATCGTGCAGCACAATGGTAGCAGCAAAAGAAAGTAGAATATTGGTTTACTCGTTCATTCGATTGTTCGTTTGTTCAGTTATTTCTTGACTTAAAGCTTTCGTGACTGCAGGAATTCATATTCTTGGGTCTTTCGGTAAAGTCACGTAGATAGGTTCAAAGAAAATAACCAAAAACTACGAAAGTTCGATTGCAACGCAGGCAATCGTCATCGGGGAAAAAAAAATATTGTGATGTATTATATTTTGAAGATTACATCACAATCAAAAAGAATTACACCGAGATCGATAGATGACCTTTATTTCAGATATATAAAAAAATAAACCGCATTTGCTGTTACTATTTGTCTATCTTTGCTTAATATAAGACACTCATTCCGGAGGGATCTGATGGATATCTTTTGTCAATTACATTATCATATTCTTTTTTTTAATATGGGCCAAAACCAGGGTGTGCAGGGAAAACCCTCGTGGAAAAGAGAACGACTCTCAGGCATTGCACACAGCTTGTCAGTAACACCCTGGCTGTAGCGTTTCCTCCAGGCACCTCGTGAATTGAGTCGCCCACATCAATGTACTTCTCCATATCTTGACAGTGAACGTACCTTCTGTTATTCTTGGTTCTTTCGGTAAAGTCACGTAGAAGGGAAATAATAAAATAATACAAATATATTGTTTCCCTTCTATGTGACTTTACCGAAAGAACCAAGAATATGAATCCCTGCAATCACGAAAGCTTTAAATCAAAAGTACCTTCTGTTATACTGAAACTCTTCGTAGCCTTTATGCAGCCATCTGGAATGCTCTTCCTTCCGATATTAGGAAACCACTGGAGGTATGCACTTTTAAATCAAATTTTAAACTAATTTATTTCGAACTGCTTTTTGTCTTTAGTTTATTCCCCTTCCCCCTGAACCATAAAGCATTGATTTTCACTCGGGCTGCTGGGCATGTAGAAGGAAAGCGGGGATTGCCAGATTTCCGGTTGGACCAGAGCGGGACATTTTTTGCAAGACCTGGGGCTTGTGATGACAGAGAAAACTCCCATCAGAATTCCCTGGGACATGTGTCTCAAGGCGACGATGAATTATGAATGCCACTGCATTACCGAATGGCGTACATATGACCCGCTCTTGTTTAGTGGCGGTGCGGTGGATGTGCTAATGTGTTTGAATAATTCATTAATATGAGGCAGTGGATGGTTGTATTTAATAATAATTTTAAAAACATCTTTGGGATCAGATGCTTGCTATGTAGTGTACTTCATAAGGTCTATATTTGTGTTCGTGGGTTGAAAAATAGGATTTTTTACCTATATATGTGATTGCGACAGTGAGTGACTAATGTTAGTTATAATGTTATATTATGGCTACCAATCCTACATTTGGCACCCCTACGAGTCCAGTCTATGCTTATAATTAAGAAAATCCTAAAATCTATGTTTTCTTTTTTATTTGGGCCTCAAAAAATGTTGGTCTTGAGGTTGATTAGTTTTCACTCAGAGGGCATAGAGAGCCTATATTCTTAAATTCCTTCAAGTTTCATTTAACGTTAAAGCTGATAAAAAGTTGGTGAAACCCGTTCCTATGACATCTTGGACGATAGGTTTTTGTTGTGTAATATTATCACACACACATGTACCCTGTGTATGTGCATTAGCCAGTTCACCTGTCGATTCAATGAATGATCAGTATTCAGGATCATAATTGTAATTTAATTTATTAACTTGATTTTAACATTACAATATGATTTGCATACATTCTAGTAACAAATGCTTGCCCACGTTTAGATGCATGTGTTGTGAATATCAAATTTACTTTTATTCTAATAGCGCAAAAAACGAAGTCAGAAGTCAAGAATTATTGATTGAGAAATCGGTTTCTGCCGTAGAAATGTGGAATTTTCACGAGTGGCAAGGAATACGATTCACTAAACTCTACAGTACCATTATCACCGCCACTGCCGCTCGCATTTGAGTTCTAATGGAGCGCTACCCATCTCCCCACAGCTGAGCATGCACCACAAACTGGGCATCATGTACTGCAAGGCCGGCCAGAGCACGGAGGAGGAGATGTACAACAACGAGAATGCGGGGCCAGCGTTCGACGAGTTCCTCGACCTGCTGGGCACGCGCGTTCGCCTGCAGGGCTTCGACAAGTACCGTGCGCAGCTCGACAACAAGAGTGAGTGCTGACGCACGCCAGTGGGAGGGTGGTGGTGGCTGCGGCGGCGGCGGAATTGGTAGTGGAGGTGGTGGTAGCAGTGGTTATTGGTGGTGGTGGTAGCGGTGGTGGCGGTGATAGCGGAAGTGTCAGTGGTAGTAGGGGTTTTGTTTTCGGTGATGCTGGTGGTAGTGGTGGTGTTTTCAATGGTGGTAGTAGTGATATTGGTGGTAGTGGTAATGTCGATGGTGGTTTGTAATGGTGGTGGCAGCGGTGGTAGTGGTGGTGTTGCCGGTGGTGGTAGTGGTAATATCGGTGGTGGTGGTAGTGGTAATATCGGTGGTGGTTGGTCGTTTGACCATTTATTTTCCTGTGGTGTTATGCCCGCCAGGTGCTTATTTCAAGAGCAGATGGTTGCTTCTGCTTACAACTTTTTACAATTTGACCAGATTTTTAGTTATTATGAATCGTTACCTTTGAGATAATTTGAAATGGGGAATCCTGGGTGAGGAGCATTGTGACAGGGTGTTGTGGCAATGTAATTCAGATTCCTGTGACAAATCAAGCAGAGGGTAGTGTTTAATAATATACCAAACATGCCAATGGCTACCTGCGGAAACCAGGGTAGGTGAATAACAAACGTCGTCTAACGTCCTTTTCTGAATCTCCTTCCAACTAGCCAAACTGATTGCAGGAGTGGAAATCATATGGAAAGGCCTTTGTCTAATTAGAAGCAGACCTACAGTTATACTTATTTGACCTTATCGCACTAATGAAGCGTTCCAAATGAAAGATATGGCTGTGGCATGGCTCGTTTTACAAAGCACCCCACCAGCTGCTTGCACCCAGCTTCACCTCCACTCCCCTCAGTGTCCATGTTTGCTTTGGCCACGTTCCACATTCGAAATTTCACGTTGGTGAAAAAGTAATTTTAAATAAATTCTGATTGTAAATTTGTATTCTGCCTAAGGATTTTCACCTGGCTCTTGTCGGAGAACCGGACTCCAGTTAGAATTGGTCCCCTAAGGCAGGCGTTTTACATTAATTCCCTCCTCAAGACCATCAGCGGCTCATAATTAATGTAGGAACACGTGGCCAGTTGTTTAACTAATGCACCGTGTGGATTGTCGAGGCAACGCGCCGATGAAATATTCATCTTGCCGTAGTATCCATTTAGTGTTTACCCATCTGCTCGCGCAAACGTTAAGCATACACAATGTGCAGAAATTAAAATAAAACAATTTAAAATATTAATACAGACCCACCATGTTCTCAAGTACTTTAATTTATTTTAATGTAGTATCATAATTGATTTTTATTTTCCATTACGTTTGTAGTGGTAAATTGGTAATATGCATCTAAACTGGAAGGTGTACTCTCCAACGTATTTTTTGGACCGTCATACCGCGTGGTTTCGACGCCATACTTGCAGCTCTGAGCTTGTCGAGCGAAACGTTGGACATCATGCCTAATAAACGTGCATTGCAACCTGCAAACGCATCGGAGAGCCACCAAGCACAACTGCAAAAACTTAAGGAGCAGTAAAAATTTAAATAACTATTATGCCTGGTGCAGGGCGAATGGGTTGCATCCTTCTCGGTGGTTATGACAAAACTGATATTTGTTGCCTGCGTTCGTGTGGCTCGTTGACCGAGATCTGGCATTTTTCTTACTGGCCCAGACCCTGGCTCTTGTGGGCTCCAGCCACGCACTTCTCTTCAGCTATCATACACATACAATCATGATTGATTGATGTAATGTTTCATCACGTTTTAAAAGCTGAAAATTGGCCCGAATATAATGGAGACTCTGTAACTGCAAAACTCAACAAATAAAAGCAACAATTTTTTATTTATCACCCGCAAAATTTTGAAAACTAATTTTTGTTTTTGAATCTTGGCTTAAGAAAGTTTGTTTGGTTTTAATATCTGGAGGATCTGAAGGCTGCTGAATCCAAATTGGAAATGAGATCTTGTAAAATAAAACTTTTAGTAAGTTTAGTAGTGGTGACGCTAGAGGGAATAGATAGAAGGTGAATCCTGTACCCTGCCCAAAAATGCCTTAACATGAGAGCTCTCAGAACTTACAAAACACTGCACCATGCTCCTTCACGCCTTCTGAGTGGTTCGCTATATATCAATCCTAAAGTAAATATTTACAAACTTTATCCCTCAAACTTATTTTGTGCAGTTATTTTGTGACCAAACTGCACTCACTCCGCTTGAGGACGTGGTTTAATCACAGGCTGCTTGAGCCCAGATTAAAACTCATTTTCTCAGCCGTGTTGGCTCATTGCTCTAGAATAGGATTGATGAATTTCCACAGATAGGAGTTGAGCAGTGGCAGACGATAATTTAATAGTGGAGACAATTTAACTCTTTGAGCCACGTGGAAAAAGCTTCCCTGTGTCATAGAGGCTGACCCAACAGTGCTGGTGCCACGTGTCTCCTCCACAGCGGATTCGACGGGGACTCACTCCCTCTACACGCAGTACCGTGATTACGAGATCATGTTCCACGTCTCCACCATGCTGCCGTACACTCCCAACAACAAGCAGCAGGTATGACTCACGCTCACGTTCACACTTTGCTGCCCATTAATTTATCTCGGATTCACAATGACTCTGCATCGCAGGACGAATCTTCGTAGCGCGTCTTGACGACTGGCGTGGCACGGGGAGCGATCGGGTTAGATGATGTGCAGTGGCAGAAGCATGCCATGTTCCTCCTGCGATTCAGCGGCGTTCTTAATTAATCAGAGGTGCAGACTGCGATGACCTCGGCTTGTAAACGAGTGCGTGGCAACAGCTAGCTTCCGGCCACAGGAGGAGTCTCAGGCAAGCCGGGTCAGATGGTGTGGTGTCTCCATAACGGAACAGCCTCTAGGGGAAACATAGGTGCCGACTCTGTTTTCATGTTCCCACCGTTGGCCCATTTAAGGGTTTCTGAGGTCTGGTGAGAGGGAGAGCTTAGGGGTGTGGCAGTCATAATAAAGGAAAGGTTTTGTTTTGCTTCAATTTTACTGCAGATATTTCTGACAAGGGAGTAAGGGGTGTGAGGACGATGGATCATTTCATTGGTTAATAGCGATGTTTCTTGCACCAAATCTTGCATGTATGTATCGTTTTTTTCGATTCGTTTGCACTCTCGTAATGGGTTCACATCATGACTTGAAGCCATGAAAAGCGATGCCGTTCACCACACTGAGAAAACAGAACATGCTCAATGAATCGAATAACCACTCTGAAGTTTTTCAATTCATCGAATCACTCCACTTGCAGTGGCTCTGCAATTGTTTCACCCCTTACAAGAATATAAACCCCATCTTTGCTAAGACTCTGAAGTTTTTCAATTCATCGAATCACTCCACTTGCAGTGGCTCTGCAATTGTTTCACCCCTTACAAGAATATAAACCCCATCTTTGCTAAGACAGTATAGTAGGAAGCTTACCCGTTTTTTGTGTACAGGTGAGGTTTTGTTGTGCACCAATTATCGCTCCAGATAAGCCGCACAGTTATGAATATGAGTTGCATTTTACATTTGCATTAAATGCCTATTACGTTTGGAAAAGCACAGCTTGCTTGCTATTTATTTATTACTTTTTACAGAGTTGCTGAGCACAGGCGTAAAGGCCTAACAAGTCAAGTAGCTAGCAACAACAAAACAGCTCGATCAAAGTTGTGGCCACGTGATCCCCCAGTGGGTGTGTACCGCAATGTGTACTGCAATGTGTACCGCTAAACTGCATTGTGCAGTTTTAGTTTCTTTTGGAATAAAAATAATACTTTCATAAAAAGCAAAAACCTTCAAAATATTCTGACAGAGAAATGTTGTTTTTGTAACACAAAGTTGTGGTACATTAGTACCAAGTTTTTATACAGTAGTTCATAGTAATATTGCATATTCTTTGGTTCTTTCCGTAAAGTCACGTAGTTATAAAAAAAATAAAGTGAATAAAAATATCACGACGTTTTGATTGCAATACAAGCGATCGTTATCAGGAAAAAGGGTTAGCCTCGCAAGGCAAACTGTTTATAAAGGTTTGGAGATGGGCATAGCCCAAGTGTATCAGCAGCACCAGCAGCATGGGCGGGGCAGCAATGCCAATGCAGCAGCAATGCCAATGCAGCATCAATGCAAATGCAGCACCAATGCCAATGCAGCAGCAATGCCAATGCAGCAACAATGCCAATGCAGCAGCAATGCCAATGCAGTAAAGGGCTGCCAGGAAATCACTGCACCTCGCTCCACACACCACACTGCTGACGGTGGAGGTTGATTGACATGAAAACACAAGTCAAGTCATGACCCAAAGAGGTTGATGACATATTTCCAATGATTGCTGAGTTTATAACCTTCCTCTCGGTTGAAATTGTGTCTGTCTCTGTATAATGGATGGCTTTATGAACAAATCTTTGTTGATCGCCAGTGGGCTTGCAAAGTACCATCGTCTTAGAGAAATTCATTTCGTGTGAGCCAGCCGCATTAAAATAATGATCAGCCACGGCAGAGGTATTGGTCCTACCGTGTTTCAAATCTGCCTTATGCTCACGAACATGGTCCGAGACATGTCGCTTAGTTTCCCCAATGTAACTGCTACCGCAGATACAGCTTAGTTTGCAGACGCCGGGATATTGCATGTCAGAAATCTTGTCCTTCACAGATGGAATCAGATCACGAATTATATTTACTGTGTTAAATCGGACCTGGATCTGGTGTTTGTTCATGATTTTGGAAATCTTTTTGGTTACCCCTGCTTTGTTTGGCAGGGTGATGGTTTTGATTGGATCCTCAGATGGCTCCTTCCTCACGGTTGGGGTGATGGCTTTGCGGATTGTGTAGTCAGAATATCCATTCGCCTTCAGAGCTTGGTGTACGTGTTTGAGTTCACTGGTTAGGTGTTCATGGTCGGAGATACATTGAGCTTTACGGTGTAGCATTTTGATGAGGGAATTCTTCTGGGATGGATGGTGGTGGGAATCAGATTTTAGGTAGGCGTCAGTATGGGTTACTTTCCTGTAGACAGAGTGGCTCATTGAGCCATCTGGTCTCTTTTTGATTAAGACATCCAAGAAGGGTAGCATGCCATCCTTTTCTACCTCCATGGTGAATTTTATGGCTGGGTTTATGGAATTGATGTGGTTGAGGAATTGGTTCAGAGCTGGTCGGCCATGTGGCCAGATAACAAACGTGTCATCCACGTACCTCTTCCACAAGGATGGGCGTAGAGTGGATGCCTGGATGGCGTCCATCTCAATTTTTTCCATGGAAATATTGGCTACAACCGGAGATAAGGGAGAACCCATTGGGGTGCCTTCAGTTTGTTTGTAGAATGTTCCATTCCAGGTGAAGTCTGTATTGGTGAGGCAGTGTCTCACCAGGGCCGGTACATCAGTATTCAATCCTTGTTGGATCAAATCTTCAATGATTGCAATGGTATCGGGCACAGGAACTTTGGTGAACAAAGAAACTACATCGATACGAACGAGCAAATCACCTGGGGACAGTGAGATATCTTTAATTGACGAAACCAGGTGAGCGGAGTTAAGTACAGAAGAGGTGGTCTTACCAGTGAATAGCTGTAAGGTCTCCGACAGATATCGGGCCAGTTTGTAGGTGGGTGAGCCAATGGGGGAGACGATGGGACGAAGGGGTGTACCTTCTTTATGGATTTTTGGTAAGCCATATAATCTGGCTGGTCTAGCAGCAGAATGTTTGAATGAAAACCGTTTGGTCTGTTCCATTAATGAAGCTGAATTAGTGATGATACCGTTCGTTTTTGTAACGAGGCTGTTGGTGGGATCTCTTTTAATTTTTGTGTAGCTACCATCATTAAGTAGGTTCTGAATTTTGTTATTGTACACAGTATTGTCCATGATGACCGTGGCATTGCCCTTGTCGGCTGAGAGGATTACGATATCATCCCTCATTCAAATATTGAATGCCGAAGTCAAAATTGAGTAATATTGTAGTTAAAATATTCTTTGGGTCTTTCGGTAAAGTCACGTAGATAGATTCAAAGAAGAAAACAAAAAACAAAAACTACGACGTTTCGACCGTTAGTGTTGCGATCGAAACGTCATAGTTTTTTTTGTTATTTTGTTATTTTCTTTGAACCTATCTACGTGACTTTACCGAAATACCCAAAGAATATGAATTTCTGCAGTCACAAAAGCTTTAAGTGCAGTTAAAGTGATAGACTAATATTTTAATGGGCGCTAATTATATATGTACATTGGCCTTAGTTTTAAGGGAACTTAAAAAAAAAGGTTTGATTATTTGAATTCTCACCCCAGAATTTATTAAAGATTGTGCAGTTTTTTAATCAAAATTTATAACGAATTGGAGGTAACGTTGCATTTCACCCTTGAAAATTTAAAATATGCACTTTTTGTCAACATTGCAGCGTAATTTACTCAAAAGACCCAGATAATCTTATCTGGAGGGCAGTCCTCAATGACAAACGCGTTTGTGTGCACATCAAGGCCGAAACGGATGAAGCTCAACAGAACACTAACAATGTGTTTAATAATATTTGAGCAGGAGAACAGTTTTAAATTATTATTATAAAAGTGACATCATATATTACAAACAAAATATGAGTGCTTTTGCAGTAATAATACAAAAACAAAAATGAATTACTTATTTATGGCAGGGCCTCTGTAAGAGGGAGCTCTAAAGAACCCTACTCGAGGGGATGTTGACGACTCACCCACCACGCTGGCCCAATGTCTATCCACTAACTGTGGTAAAACCCATTTATGCCGCTGGTCGGCCACAGGCAGTTGGGGGGGGATATATAAAGAACTTGCATTGTTTCAACTGCCACCCCTGGAGAGGAAATCGAACCGGCGACCTCTGTTTTGGAGAGTCCAGTGCGCTGACCGTTGCACCATGGCAGCATCCACCGTCAGTGGCGCAAAAGGACAGACAAAATAAACTCCACATTCCTCATTAGCGCACCGCCTTATAACGTGCAAAATGTATATAACTGCAAGATGAAAACGCGTAAATAGATGTGTGGCTTCGTTGAAGTGCAAATAGACAGAGATTACTACCTCAGGTTTTTTTAGGCCCTCGTGCCACCTGTAATTAAGTGATAGGCAGCGTTAAGTCTCGGGCTTCTGGTACTCTGGATAAGGCTCAAGTCCGACCATAATGATGTACAGTGTATTGCCCGCGAAGCTATTTCCAGTTCTGCTACGTAGGATTTTGTAGGCTTTCAATATTGCTCACGTGCTCGTATCCATTGCTGCGTCAGTCGAGAAACTCTATAAATTTAAAACGGCTAAGTCTAATTTCTGTCCAGTGTTTGCTTTAGATTACAGAGATAGAGCTTTGTTATCATCAAACACTATGAGTATTAAGTCTACCTTCTCCTATTAACAGTACGAATGAAATGCAATTGTGACACAAATCCGTTTCTGTGTAATATAATTGGAATTTGTAAATGTTGATATGAATTAGTTTTTTTTGTAAAAGGGCAGAGCTGCTGTACAGGGAATCTGATGTAAACAACGCAACTGCGTGGGTATTCGCGGTTGTGCCGTACAGCTCTCA